AAGTATAGAATTTTGTATAATGAAAATTTTAAAATGTTGAATTACTGTTAAATGAAAACTAAAATTAAATGTTTATAAAACGAAATGAAATAAAACTCGTTTAAACACGAAAATAAAAAATCTTAATGCAATAAACCATAATTTGCATATTTTTTAGCTAGAGCACAGTTTTTACAAAGTTCGAGAAGAGACAAAATCTTAATCTAACAAAATTTAAAAAATTCTTATTAAATAAAACAAAATTCCTATTAATGTAATAATTGTTAATTATTTAAAATTAATTACAATTTTAACAAAAAGAACAAATTTCGCCCAAAATTTTTAATGAAACAAAAAGGCCTAGTTTCGTTCTCTTAAACTTCAAAATATTTTAATAGAAAGAAATAAAATAAACCATGATAGGCTTTCGAATTTCTAATATTATTCTTTTTCATAACATTCTTTCAGCACACTAGAATCCTTTCATTTTATAGTGTTCATAAAATTTTTAAATCCCATTTTGAGGCATGCAAATTACTTAAAATTCATTTTAATTTCTTAATTTTCATTTTTATTATTACCTAATTAAATTCCCAAAAAATTTCAATACGTGTATAACGAGTATAACTTTCCACACTAAACATCAATTTTATTTATATATTATAGGTAGTGTGTAGTTTTTTATTAATACTCAAATTGGGATAGTACAACAGAAACAAAAATTGTCCTGTACTTTTTCCTAATATTACCATCGCATTCACAATTCGCCTCTGAATATCATTTAAGTTCATAATATTGGCTCTGAAAAAGGCTTTACATATACATCAATTTTGTTATATTGCACTGTTATGTTTACATTTGATATTTCTTACTGCTACCTAAGATTCCATAAAGAATGCATAATCTTTGCTGCTACTCTTTTGATATGTCTTTTAAATTCGATATTTAGAAAAATTGTATTTAATCCAGTATTTATGGCATAATGCAAACAAAAAATTTTTTGATTCCGGACAGAAATTAAGCAAGACTAACTTCAACACTGTTGAATATAGCAAAAAAACAATCTATCAAAATTTTTTGTTGCTACACCATTATAATTTTTCAAATTTTTGGAAATTATTTATAAAATCTATAAACTGAGCACTGTTAGTTGGCAGTTAATTCTGGAAATACTCATTTTACAATTTTCTTTTTATTCTTCTTTATTATAAAAATATAAAAATGTGAGTTTCTTTCACAATTATATTCTTGATATAATATCTTTAACGTCTTAATATTGAAAATTGTAATAATTTCCTAACACTTTTTCATCTCCCACTTATATTTAAGTCCTTAATGGTTTTCATTTTTATATTTCAATCTTAAAAATAAAATAAAAACGCAGAAAGTTCTTAAATAATAAAAATCTGATTATATTGCCCTTTTCTTTTATACGTAGGTAGGAATTCTCGAGAAATGACCCAAATATTAGCGGTATAATAATTACAAAATTTTCGCAAATAAAAAAAGTATAATTTTAGATAAAAGTAAATATCGGGTAGAAAGATCAAATTTGAAATAGAATTTTTAGATAAATTTCATCACATTTATAGCTATAAAACCCAAATATGTAAAAGTAATTAAAAGAAAAAAATTTAAAGATTAAGATGGTTTTGGGATCCAAACTTGTAATTCAAATATATTGATTAAAAAATAATGGAGGCGTAAATATTAACGAATTAAATACATTGAGTTTAAAATAAAAAAAATTACACAAAATACTGACATGTTCCAAAAAGTTATAAACTTACATGCGATGTTTTACGGAATAATGGTCATAAAATTTAAAAAAAAATCTCATAAAATTTAATATTTTCAATCTTTATTAAAAATTAAAACTAAATTTACTTAATTTATTTAAATGGCAATTAAACTAATACCGAGCGAGCCTTCAAGCCCGGATAGACTAGAGAATACCGTATATGATTTGGTTGCAATGAACCAAAATTTACAAAGTTGGAAAATAACAATATGAGTTTTATGAATAGTTTATTTTGTAAAGAATAATATTGCTGATTTGTTGAAGGATTCAAGTGTCTAAAAAGTTTTACAAGACTCATAGCCTCACCTTTACAATTTCCTTTCAATTGAAGGAAACTTACTACTTAAATTCCAATTTTTACTCATATTCTACCTTGTGAATCTATTTGTAATTTAAGAAAATTATAAAAAATAATTTAAGCAAAATACATAAATACTCATACATTATAGGTTACGTATGTGCAGAGACATAACCCATATTTCAACACCAAAGATTCACTAATTTTTCTTTTCATTTTTTGTTATAACAGAAATTATTTTCGATTTTTCCCACCTTTATATTCTTTTATAGCACCAAATAAGCCGCAAATGATAATTATTTTGGCGTTCAATAATAACTTTTTTATATTCCATTACGTACATACATGTATGTATGAACCCTCACAGATTGGTGTATAATATTCATATAAAAGTAAATTGAATAACAGTTCAAAACAACTATAATATTCTATAACATTTTTAGCCGACCGTTTAGAACTTTTTAATTAAGACAACACTCTTTTTTTTATCCCGTAGCTCTATACATATTACTTTTCATCATTTTTCTTAATATACAAACCTACATACTAAGGTACTTAGCTACTTACTCATTTATTAAATTCTTTTTATTATTATATGCCTTTTATCATATACACACAATTTACAAAAATAAAAAAAAAATTGTCATAAGTTGATAGAAAGCAAAAAAAAATTTAATGGGAAATGAGAAAAAAAATCGAAATAGAGGAAGAATAAGTAAAACGTCATGACTGAAAAAAGAGCGTCTTGCGGGATAGACATAAAATAAAAATTAAAAAATTTATAAAGAAAACAATCAAAAATGTTTAGAAAATAGGGAAAGACAATGTTGAATTGGCTAACTCAAATGTATCAAATTTAAAAGTATTTAAATAAACGCAGCTGAAACATTTGAATGGTTTAACTGGCACAAACCAACCTGAAAAAGAAATTGAACTTACAGATTTAATTTACTAGAAGAACTTACAATATAATTTTGAAAAAAATATTCAAATTTCAAATAACAAAACCGTCACAATCGCACAATTATAACACAAATGCTGTCATTTGAAAATGATTTATTGACTAAATCATTAAATTAATTGACATCAAATCGGAGAATAAAACTCAAATTCTACTTTTTTCATATTCCCCAAGTACACCTTATACCCAAGCTCAAATATATTACAATGACTGATACTATAAAATATCTGACTTAAATTTTTATTGAAAATTTTTATTGAAAGTAGAAAAAAATTTTAAATATTTTAGAATTAATTACTACTTTGCAAGATCCCTAAATATTATATCTAACTGCACTATCAATCTTAATAGTCTCTTAACCACAATTATGAAAATCAGTCGAAAATATTTAATATAGATAAATTATGTTGATTTCTCCTATGCTCTGTAGTTTTAAATTTTGATATTTTAAAAAGTTTGAAATCAATTAATAATTCTCAAAATTACAAATAAATTTTTATTTTAAGAAAATTTCTAAATACCTTTGCTTTCTTCTTTCATATATTCAGCATTCTTTTCTCACATCAGATATTACTTGTCATAGATATAAGTTTAAGAGTTATAAAAGGACAATGTATATTGTAATGATAAAATTTTTATTCAATTCTTAAGAGTTCATTGTTGAAACAAGGAAGCGTTGCAAATTAGTGTGATGCCTAAAAAGAAAAATATATTCTCTTATTCTTAAATGAATCACTTAAGTCGTTTTAAATGGAATTTTATTTCTCTCTTTAACTTCTTTTTTATTATTTTTTTTTTTAGTCCCTTTTTCATTGCTCATTCATTTTATATTCATATCATCTCATATTTTTCATCGCTTTTACAATTTTCATTATTCATTATTAAAGGCGATTGAAATAAAACTGAAAAAAAAAAACTTTTGTTTTACATTGCACTTGAATTCATCTTGAAACGCTTTCTCCCTATTTTTCCTTAACTTTACATTTTTTTTTTCTTTGTTAACTTGTGTTCTTAATTGACAAAAGTCTAAAACGTTTAAGCACGATGACATTTTTTTTATATGTGATAATATTTAATTGTACATACATACACCCGCATACATAGTTGTACATTACATAAATATTCTGTGTATTATTTTATTTACATTCACAATTCTGGATAGTGTTAATGACTTGTTTTTCCTTTGTTTTCTTTTCTAATTTTTATTTTTGAATATAAAAACAAAAATAGAAAAACGAAAACTAAATTGCATAAAAGCTCACAGGATTTTGTCCTTAATTTGAATAGTAAAATGTGAAATGAAAATCTGGAAGAGATTTTTAAAAATTTATTTTCTATCTATTTCAATTAAATAAAAAATTAAATGCACCATTGCAGATTTAATGACAAAAAAGAAATTTTCAATTAAAGAATTTTAAGAATATCAACTAGATGAAACTTGGAAAAATTAAATATTAAAAAAATTCGTTTTACAACTAAATAAAAAATCCATTTTTATAATGAGTTAGAAGTTAAGATAAAAGGATAGCAATATAAAACTTTTAAGTTAATTTGAATTACTAATTGAATACATATAGAAAAATTATTTCTTTTATTAGGCAATCACCTTACCGTCTATTACGACTTTTACTATAAAATTATTAAAATTTTAAAAATATAAACTCATTCAAGGTATTTTATAAGGCATTTAATTTTGTATTAACCTACTTATACATAATATGATTAGAACAGGCAAGATATTAAGACCACTTCTTACTAAACACTTTTCAGTTTTTCAATATGTTCATGCAAATAAATTCTTATAAACAATAATGTATTTAATTTTAGTTATTTTCAGGTTAACAAAATGACCTGTAGATTGTTGATGAAATTTTTCAATTGTACAATATTATGTTAAAAAGAATGTTATATGAATGTTTAAAATAAAAGAAATTATCTTATATCGGCGAAGTAGTAAAAAATTGACACTAATGATCAACAACATTTTTAACATACAAAATATAAAGCTTTTTAAAGAATGGTAACACAACTTTTATAAATTAAGAAAAAACTAATAAGAATAACATTATTTTAACAGTTTCGTAATATTATTTTCAATTTCGGCTCCCGAAGGTCTTGATAGTGGATTATTGTTCCAACATTTAGTGTAGATTGCCTTATAAAGCTGTTCTTTCAATTCACACTGAGAATTTCTACGTTTAACAAAAATTTCTTCCAAATTTAAATTTTGTTCACAATTTTCACTTATATTTGAAAACTTTAATTTTTTCATTGCTTTTCTCTGGTAAAAATTTACATCAAGATCTAATAATTCATTATTTTTTTCTTTAAAATTATTATTATACTTTATTTCACTTGTTAAATTTTTATATTCCTTTTGTATTCTACGAAAAGGAGATGAAGATAACATACGTAATGGTTGAAGATTATTAATGCTACTTGAATTTCTGTTCCTGTCACTAGATATTTCTGATGAAAATTGTTGACATATACAATCATTATGAGTATTATTAAATTGAAAACAATTTTCAATATCTTCAGTTGGTGTACTAGGCCGTAAATTTACTTTAACAACTTTATATGCTACTGTATCATTACAATCAATATTATAATAGGGTAATATTCTTGATTTAAGCTGCCAAATTGTTACACCATACGAATAGATATCAGAAGCAGGAGTTAAATTCTCATTCTTTAAAGCTTCAGGTGACATATAACGAATTGTACCAATTGGTGCTAATAAATTTGATAATTTAATTTCTATTTTATTTTTAGAAATAATTTGTGATGAACCGAAATCGCATATTTTACACGAATAATTTTTTAAAATATCATTTTTTGTATCTAAATCAAATGCTACTAGAATATTTTGTGGTTTAATATCTAAATGTAAAATACCATTTTTATGACAATAATTTAAACCGCATATAATATCTTTTGCAATTCTAAAATTAATTTAAAAAAATCTTAATTAAATTTTAATTAAAAAATTTATAAAAATATACCTTAATCTATGTTGGACTGACAATTCAATTTGATCAATTATTAATTGTAAACATTGCCCTTGAAATCTTTCCATAATAACAGCACTTTGTTTTAATGTACTTTCAACCTAAAATATATGTATACAACTTTTTCCTTAGTTATCATATTTTTGGTAACTTTGAAAATTTTCTAACATGCAAAATTTTTATTATATTTTCATGATCCCAATTAAGAATATTGATTTCGTTAATAACAGCTGGAAATTTATCACCATTATTTTGATTTTTTATAATTTTTACAGCAACTTTTCTACCTGTTTCGAACCAATATATTATAATTAGTAATTAAATTTATTGTCATTTAAAAAATATTACCTTTATAAACACCTTTAAAAACTGTCCCAAAACTTCCTCTTCCTAAAAGATTTTCAGCTGAGGGTCTTCTGAGACCATTTCTAAGAATTTCATTACGATTTGGAGTGTCAAAATTAATATCATTCTCTACTAAATTTATTTGATCAACAAAAACAGATTCAGTCGAAGACATTTTAAAAATTAATATACCTAAAAAATTCTAATAGATGGTGAACTTTTTTGAATTATGGTGAATTTCAAAATATTAAATTAGTGTTGCCATAATGTATAATACATTGACTAACGATCTTTTGAGAAATTTTCAAGTTTTTTACATTTGAGTTGTTTAATAGTTTTTATAATTTTATAAATATGTGACTTTAAAAAATTTTTCGGTAATACAATTAGAATTAGGTTTATAACTTACTAAATATATTCGATTTTTATAACCTGACTCAATCCTAATTATGTAGTTATTATTCAAACAATGTATGTGGGCACTACAACTAATATGAAGATTTTGCTAAATATTTAACCAAAACTTGTCAGCATTTAATTTTTCAAATCATAATGAGGCAATACTTTCATACTGTGAATTTTGAGGTTAAATATATTTCAATTACCAATACTGAATTACAGAATAATTAAGTTTATTTGAATTCAATGAATATTGATCGTTGATTTAAGATTTAAAAGAGACGACGTGAAACAATTGAACACGAAAGAGAAAGAAAACTTCAGCTCACATACATACGCATTTTTATATTATATGTATATGTATTTTATTATACCAAATTTGTTATGAATATAATATTATGTTAATAAAAATTTGTTATGTAAACTTTTTTCAACACTTGTAAACTCAGGTACTCTAAGAAGAATAAATAATGCACATATCAATTTTATGAACTTCTTTTTCGAAAAGAGAATTGTAGAGTTTAATAAGTCAAGTATGTACTTATGTAAGTATATTTACAAATAAACACCGGCTAATATTTTGTTCATCTTCCAGGTCATGTCAAATCTCGATAAAATATTTTGTGAAAGATTGAAAGAATAATTTCAAATAATAGTTTCCTATTCCATCCCAACAAACCATTTACTTTTATAAAGGCGGGTTTTCGAATTTTCTGTTTTTAAAATTAGAACTGAAAAACTTTAAATGCGTTATATTTAATTTGTATAGGAAGGATTTAAAGCTTTACATGTTCCTGTCTTAAGCACTTGAATATCAAAATAACGCCATACAACGAGAATTACGCTTATATAGGTAAGACTAATATACTCAAATTTGTCTATCTAATTATATAGAATACTTTTCGATAAAATAGTTAAGACAATTTTATACGACACATCTGCAATTAACAGTTTTTGCACAAATAAAAAGTGAGCCTTACGTATTTTCCCAAAAAATTTTGTATTTAAAAAGTATAAAAAATTAATTTTGTTGTATTCACTCCACCATATTAAAATATAATTGTCACACAATGAATGCTTTTTAAAAATTTTTCTCTGAAGAATCGCCACGTGAGATTAAATGTGTATATCACGATAAATACCATCACGAAACAAATTTAAATTGTAGCAAATTTTCATTATAAAAATATTGAAAATTACTTCATATTTAAAGTAATACTTGCCTCTCTTGAAAAACCAATTAAGTTTTTATACTGTACAAAATCTTAAAAAAAGTGTCTGAAAAACTTCATTTATTTTTGCTACGGTAAAAAAAATTAATAAAAATTTATTATTTTGGAGAAAAGTACAAAAATTAATAAAAATTTATTTCGATTAATTTTTCTTTTTTTTTTTTTATGGCATCCTTGACCACCAATTACAAAACCAATGTTACAATGAATTTTAAAGCATAAAGACTGAAAATTATCCTGAATTATATCGTAAAAAATTTTGTTTTCTTTTAAAATTCCAAAGGACCACAATTTTCCATAATGATGAGAAAAATCCAAAAAAAAAACCATTTACAAACTAAATTTTATAGTTCTTTTATATTAGAATTTTCATGTATAGCAATAACGCCATGCTTCCCATTAAAGGGTATATTAATATTTGCATAACCATCAGCATCTATAATTAATTTTTCACCCGAGCATTTTTTATTTTCATTGATTTCTTTATTATTATTATTACTGTTATTATTTTGATTATTGGGACTTGTAGTGTTATTTTCATTTAAAATATTTTCACCATTAGTATTTTGATCATTACGATTTTCATCTATTATTTTACCACTAATTATATCACAATATTCTCCAGGTTTTAAACATGCAACTACTTTTGTTTTATAATCAAGAAAGGGATCATTATTGAAAGCAATAAATCCTTTATTACCACGACAAAAAGCAATTTGATTTGGTCCATTATCTTGCCAATTACTAATAGGTTGTCCTTCAACAATTTTTAAAAATTCAACCATATTAACAATAGATTGCCATCTATGCTCACATATCCATGACACGTTATTTTCTTTATCATAAGCTAAGCATTCTTCAGTTTTATTATCAAAAATTGGTGATAATATATTATCATTTTCATCGGCTGGCGGTCCTTGATCTGTACTATTAAATTGATATGAACTCATAATTCGTTTAATACCATATGGATGTGATAACATAAATGCAGTAGCCATTATATATTTTTTAGGTTTTTTATGTGTTAAAATCAATTCACCACCAGCTCCGTGACCCCTCTGATTATCATGATTATCAATAAAAACTAATGCATCTGAATGTGGTAGAAAACCTATTGTCGGACCCCAGTTTATTAGAGTACTTAATGACTTTTTACCATTAAAAATTTCACCAATTTCCTTTGAATATAAAAATTCAGTAACAACACCAAAACTATTATATTCAGTTCTTAAATAAAAAAAAATATAGAATATTTTAGAAAAGTGGACATCAAAAGAATTCTATACAAAAATGTACCAATTAATTTAAAAAATGATTTTTGGAAAAAAAATAGGTTAAAAAATAAACGCAAAATTTATCTTACTTAGAAACAGCTTCTCCACCCAAATCGATGACTTCCTGATAGAAAAATGGTCTCGAATTTGGTGGAAAGTTAAATTCTATATTCAAATTTTTTACATTCTCTAAAATAGCCTTAAAATTCACACAAGTAAGATGGTATTTAAAATAAATTTTATTAAAAATATATTTTATACCTTAACATCCATTGGCCACATATGTTTTGCAGCATCAATACGAAATCCAGCAGCACCCAAATCAATTAAATGATTTAAAAAATTAACAATTTTCATTCTAACACTTTCAATTGATTGATTTAAATCTGGTAACGTACCAAGTTGACAATTACGTACATCATTACCATCAGTATAATCAGAAATAATACACTCAGAATGAAATTCTTCATTAACGTAAGGTACACCGGGATAATCACGTATTGTTGCATTTGCTTTTGATCCAGCTGTACCTAACATTTCTTCTGTAGGTTTGCCATGTCCAGCTGCCATATGATTAAATACAACATCAACATATATTCGAACGCCAGCATCGTTACATCGTTTTGACATATTTAAAAAATCTTCTTCATTACCGGAACGTGTTTGTATTAAATAAGATATTGGTTGATATCTTTCCCACCATGGACGACCATAAATTTCTTTTTTTATGAGATTTTCATTAACAGGTGATAGCTATAATAATGTTAAAGTTTAAAAGTATGTTTGAAATTTTTTTATTCCAATGGTAAAATGAAAATAAATTTTTTAGAAAGGAACAGATTTATCTTTTTGCAATTATGAGTAAATATAGAAAATATTAAAAATAGAATATTTTTTTTAAAAACATTTCACTGCTTGTATAAATGTTTTTCTTAAATACGGCAATCTTCTTATATGAAAATCATCTCACGTTCGTCAATAAAATTTTAACTGCCTGTATGGTTATTTATATAATAAAATTATATTTTTTGTTTTGTTTTTTTCTTGGGGGTATTGTAGAAGAGAATATCCTTAATATGTTAAATAAAGAAATTGATATATACGCATATTTGTATATTGACCTGCAGCAATAACATATTTAGTGTTATATTTTAAATACCTGTATTCCACCATATCCTTTTGGACCTAAATATTGTTCACATTCGTTAGCAATATCACTAAATTTCCATTCAAATAAGTGTACAATAACATGACGATTTTCTAAAAAATTTGGATTATGCTGTGATTCACAAAATTTAAAAGATACACAAAAGTATGCGAATGATGTATAAATAAAGAATTTCGAAAATTTTAGCAACATTTTAATTTAAATTTATTTTATAATACAAATTCGAATAAAAAAAATGGAGAAAAGCCGATATTTTCCCTAAAATTATAGAGAACGATCACCAACGGATGCGAATATCCAACTAATACAATTCTATCACAAAATTATAATGCAAATATTAAGGGCATGACAATTATTGTTATGATGGCTTAAATTTTCATGAAATTATTTCTTCTAAAAAAAATTTATATATGTGGTAATAATATGGTTTTAATGATAGAATAAATTTCCTTTTTTTTGCATATACTTGTATATTGTTTGACAATTTATCGATTCTGATAATCTTTACACCCTAAATGGCCTAAATAATCATTAACTTTTTAGATTTTAAACAATGTTATCCGTTCAATTTTTATGTAATGTTGAGACTATATTTAAATCATTCGAATTTAAACGGTTAGTTGAACATTATTAGTTGCATTTTCAAATTCATATCGTAAAAACAAAATTTTGAATGAAAAGAGAAAACTAACACTAATAATAAATTTAATTAATATTTTTTTTTTATTTAATAAAGGTTCGTTTACAATGATCATTACTATAATGGAATACAAACTAATTGAAAACAGAAATGGAAAACTAAAGTCAAAAAATTAATTTTGTAATAGAAAAATTATATTCTCCTCACGATGTACCGTCTTAATATTAAATAATAAATTAAAATACACTTTAGTAATTGAAAATTTTCAATAATTTTGGAACCATCATTCGCATCTCATTTACATAATACAGTCATAAATATAGAGATTTAAGATCTAAACACGTACACAGCGATTTGATCATCTTTGACACTAATGAAAAGAATTTTATAAGCTTTAAAATGAATATACTAAAATGACCATAGTGCCAGAGTTAACAATAAAATATAAAAATTAAAGGATTTTTAAAAATTCCAACTTTGAAGCGCCATAGCCTTTAAAAGCAAATCCAAAAACTCAAAATGTCACTTCCTATTTTTTATTCGTTTGGACGCGTTATATCGCTTTGCTTCGGAAGTAAAGTTCCTCAAATCCGAACACTGGGTGTTCTCACTCAAAATCTAACTTGATTTAACCCATATCTCATGTTCCTCTGCCATAGCGATAGTTATTCCATATTAAGCTAAGTGTAAAAAATATTCACATGTTGTTTAGAACAACAAATTATATTTAGGCTTAACTTCAATTGTATTTAAGAGCGGTTCAAAAAATTGCCGTATAATTGCAAAACAAAATATTTAGATTTCGTAACCTATGTACGTTAGGCTACAATGTTCAAATTTTTCATAAATTATTTTAAATTTCAAGAATTTTCTAATTTGCTGTGGTAACAGCCTGTAAAAATAATAGACTCTTTCTCGAATGTACATATTTCTAACCCCATTCAAGGTACAATCACCAAATTTCACACAAACTAATTTGATTGTATGAATTCTTAATGCGTTTATTTATTACGTATATGACGTAATAAATCTAAGATTATGATAGAGTTGACGTATTCAACTGTATATTTTTTCTCGTTTAATTCCAAAATGTAAACAGGCCTTTACGCGAGAATGTGAAATAAAAATTTTTCAAAGAAAGAAGACAAAACAAAATGCAAAAGCAATATCAAATGTCATTAAATTTGACCAATCATTTAATATTACTAAAACTAATTTCTTTTTTAAAACTTTGCGATTTATGAATGAAAAATGGGTAACTATTATAACAATTATGTATGTTTTTGCACTAAATCTTTATACATATGTATAAAAAAAAATAAACTTTCCAAAATTTTCCAAGCGACAGGAAAGCTATTTAACAGAAATTAGTTCTATAATTTTCAATGTAAACATACGTTTACAAGCAAATTTTAAGCTCACATTAAGAGCAAAAAATATTTACACTTTTCTAAAATAAAATGATTATTATTTATTTACACTTTCCATACAATTATTATGGCCACTTAGGTAAATTTCATTCATAATTTTTTTTTTACAAATTCTATCATAAAAGAACAACAATTTATTATTGTTGAAAAAAAAACAGTTAATTTGGAATTTATGTAATTAGTTCCCATGAGGTGACCGTACAATAATGTAAACATAAATTAAAATGACAGCAAAATGAAAGCAAGAACAAATGCAAAGTATTCAAATTATAAAAAAAAACAGAAAAGGAAAACATAGTTTTTTTATTATTATTATTGTATAATAAACCCATAGTCACTGGATTCATGTTGGTTATCAAATTGTTGCAATCAAATTAATGGATCACTTTCGGATATAATACTCGTCTACATTACGAATTTATTTAATGTTCAACATTTAGAGAATATTTTAAACTCTATATATGCAAAAATGTGCATGTGAAAATGAAATTTTAATAAAATATTTAAAAAGTTAAACAAAACTTATCAACAATAAAATAATAAATCATAAATCAAAAGGAATTATGAGGTAGATAAATGTACGAATGTAGAATTGCCATACCATTTTTCATTTTTAATACCCATATGAACATATGTTGAAAGAGTATTATAAATTTGCCTTACCGTTCTTAAAGCTAAGAAATAATGATTTGAGATTTAGACATAACTGTATGTAACAGTGTCGGATTTTGAGTTGATTTAGCAAAGTGACAACGAATATGGCCAGTAGTTGCCATTGTGGCAACCATAATGCAGTTCTTAAAATCATTCATTCATTAAAATTCATCACAAAAATAACGCGGTCAATTTCGCCTGTTCTAGTTTTTTCACAAAAGTTAATCAAAGTTATTAAAAGTTAAAATATTTCATTTTATGCTTCAAATTTTGATTGACTCATTTCTATTTTCAAAAATATGATTATTTTAAGACTGAGCCTGAATTTGTATTTTACGTTACAATACTTTTCATTAAAATTTTTCTTAAATCAAATTTAAAATTTTTGTAAGAAAGTAATATAGTTAATTAAACCCATGGTTTGTGAAAGACCAGTTTGCTTAATTGATTTAGTTAATGCATAAGGTGTATACTTTTGGATAAGAGAAGAATTTCTGTAACATTTTTTGTTTTAATTGTAAATATAGTAAAAATTACATTTTGCGAACCTGGCTGACAACGGCCTATAGCATTTAAGAACTATAGGCTTATGAAAATTGTTTATAGTTGGTTGTAATATAAGAAGTATTTAATTTATTTATTAGAATGTATTTAATTTTTTATCTTGTACGGTGTAGATAGATAGTAGGACAGACAAAGAGAAGCAAATATGTTTATTCATGTATTTTCCAAAACATTTTATGCAAATTTCTCAAAAACAATTGGAATGGTGAATTGATTTCAATAAAACAAAATCAACAAAATTGATAAAAAAAATTGCGATTAACACTAAAAAAACTTAAATTACGGTGGCAAATTTCTTAATTTTTTTAAACATTTTAAGATAATCTATACGCTAACACCTTATTTGAAAAAAAATTATGAAAGTAAAGGCATATCTGCAGTGCATATTGAAAGGAGCAACATATATATCAATTATATAAATAATAATCAATTATATAAATTATATAAATTAATAAACCCTAACCCTTATTTAAAATGGCAATGAAAAAAATATTTTTTTCTTTTTTATTCTAAGGATCATAAAGTAAGCACTAAAATTTAAACGATATTAAATTCGTATATTATACAAAGTTGACACGTAAAGCAGTCAATATGCATACTGCCTTATCGTAATTATAGGTTTTCAAATAATTTTTAATAACATAGCCGTAATAAAATTAATTAATGTAAATCACAAGTTAAATAACGTGATACATGCAATTTGAAATGGGAATTAAAGTGAAATAAATTTGTACATACGAGGAATTTTCACACATACAGCACCGTTTGAATTTAAGTACAAAATATAAAACTACAAAATGAAACATTTTTACAATATTAAAATTTATGACTTGAATAAAATTTGTATAGACGCCTTACTTCTTGTTTGAAAACAACATTCAATTAATCATTTGTTACATAATTGCTCAAATAAAATTGTCGATTTAAAACTTTCATTTAAATCTTTAAGACGACTAAGTAAAAATTAATAATTAATTCATTTATTGAATTTGATATATGGAATGTAATTGTGAACTATTCTTTAATTCGGCCTTCATAAAAATTAAAATTTTAAATCACAAATAAAATTTAAACTTATAGGTTTAACACTTTAAAATCTATTTTAGAAATGCTGTAGTCAGACAGGTTAAGACACATTACTAAAAACAATTAAAAGCGTTCAAGCGTTTGAGCCTTTGAACTAATTTGTTCCAGAAAAACAGCTCTCAGATATGTACGTGTTTCCTCATATCTTAACATAAAGTCTTAAGTTGCAGTCATTTACCAACTTGTTGTCTGTCATTCTCCAACTTGGGAATAGAGAACATCTTTGGAAGAAATTATTTATTTCAACAGTAATTACATAATTATAGCTATACTTTTTTATTTACTTGAATTATACAATTTGCAATTACAAATCATAAGCTATATTCACATAAGCTTTATATGTGAATACCGAATTACTGCAGTTTTGACTTCACACGGGGCATATAATATACCGCAGCAGCGTTACCAAAAGTGAAGGTTTTATCTTCAAAATTAAGATTTTTTAATCTTACTGAAGTTTTTCAAAATTGGCATTTTTTATATTTTTTTTTCTATTTTCAATGTTCACAAAAAAAAAACATTTCGGTCAAAAGGTCTATTTAACTGGTCATGCATGGTAACGCCATTTCCATGCCATGGTAACGCCATGCTAACCCCATAGTAAAGCCTTTTTTAAATTGAACCTGAATTGAAAATCTCAAAGGGTTCGTGAAGTTTTTTTTTTATTGAATCTTTAAAATGAAGATTTTATTTAAAAAAAAATTACGATGTTTGGTTGAATCTAATTGGCAGCGCAGTAACTTAAAACATCTCTTAATTGTATAATT